TTTGTATTCTGTTCTGTTTATTGATCTGCTAACAAACGGCTTGCACTTGTTTGGGAGAGAATCCCTGGTCGGTTTGCGCACCGGCCAATTGCTGTGTTGAATTCATTTTTCTCATTTTTGCTTGTCTCCAGAGAATCTTATTTTTATTACTGACTTATTAGTACTAAAATAATTCCTGTCAACCTCAATTATTCTAAACAGTACTTGCAAGGTGTACGGCTTGCTCTAATTTATTTCTCTTCTCAAATAAAACCGTACATGCAGAACAGGTTATAAATATTTACTGGTTGCAAAAATGGTGCATTTTTTCTGTGCTACTACTAGCATGAAGGGTTGTACTCTTGAAGCTCCGGATTAATTCCTCAAACAGATTTGCAAATTATTTAGGTTGGTTTATTTTTTATTTTTTGGCCGATACCGAGAAAAATGCTCGAAATTTGTGCAGAATCAGCAGGGTTTTTTTTTTTTCAACCCAATTTTTGGCGCATTTGGTGCTGCAGACTTATATGGTTAACATTTGGATTTTCGGCTTGGATTATCTTAGATCATGCAATAGGAATTTTTTGCTGACTCTGACTTAAGGCATGTAATGGGTACAGTTGTCATCCTTGTCGGAAGGCCATATTTATTAAGTATCTTATAAGGATTTTGAATGGTTATTTGCTTTAAATTACTCGATTCCAATAGTGCGGGGATGGTTGCAAATTTGTATCCCTGACAGGAAGTGAAAACGCCCACAACAGGGTGTTCAAACAAAATTCCATCTCAAAGCTTCTTATTGTATACCCGGCATTTGATTTTTGTTTTGAGGCCAAACAATTTCTCGATGTGCGTATCTTATAATTGATTCTCAAAAAATGATCTTCGGGTGGAAGTTTTCGTTACTTTCTCAACATCACCAAAAATTAAAAATACATGCGTTTATGGAGTCCAAAGAGAATCAGTTGATCGTGTATTTTACTCATCAGCCTCACATCTACAATTTAGCTGAAGGAAGTCCATTCACAATACAATTATATAGGGACTCAATGCGGAGTAACTCCAAAATTTGAAAAGATACGAAGCAGCGACATCTCTTTGAGGCTTCATCGATTGCGAAACCCTGTTTCCGCCTCTGCAGTGCAGTACTGTACAGTTTTTATATCGTTAAAATGGTTCATTCATGATTGTCCTTGGCACTCTTGGAGAATTTTATCTGGCCTCGAGATTTCCACGGAATACCCTGTTTGCTGATTAATAAATTATGACGGACTGCTCATGTTTAATCTTGAATTGAGGATCGACTGAACTGAAGACCAGCGTTACCAGCCGTTAAAAGTCCACGGAATTCCCCCAAGTCCATCTCTATGATTGTTATTCAAGAATTGTCTGCTAGAAAATCTCTTCTTTTCGTCATTCGATCCATTGTTACGAAAAGGGATGTTTCAGAGATGAGTAAAGGGGGAAAAAACAGAGTACACGAAAAAATAAGAAGAAGAAAATGTGGCGAATGGAAAATCCCTGATCCACATCACACATTCGTGACGCAGCAAGACGCTCATGAGTCACTGTCTTCAAGTCATGCTGTGGTCAGATTCCAAAAATGTTCACAACAGTCCACTGGACGAAATCCATGTCTGAGCATATACGGTATATGGCTCGAAAGAATTTTTTGAAATTCTGTGAATATCAAAGTTATCGTGCACGAAAACAAAACAAAAAAGGCATATCGAGTTTTCTTATCCCAAATCCAGTTCTCATATTTCTAAAAATTCCCGTTCAATTCAGTGAATTATATATGTATTTTTTTAAAGTTCTGTATAGTGAGGGAAAATTTCGAGATTTTTCTCAGTGACGAAGATAAATCGTCAGTTTAATCCTCGTGATTCATTTTTTATTTTCAGACTTAGAAAGCCCATATATTGAGTGAAAATATGTATTTTTTGTTGTTAGCAGCCAACATTCTTCATGCGTTACTGTCCCCAAAAGTGGGGATTACTGGCATTTGCAAGTCAGTCTATTCTTGTACAGAGTATCTGTGGATGTTGCCAAAATTTGCTGGGATGGACTTTAACCCTCCATCAATGACTTTTGATCACCCTGGATTCTTGTCCACGAAACAAATTCTTATTCTGGTTCCATTTCTCGCTGATGATACTTCGAAGTATCAGCTTCCAGGTGAGATAAACTACGAAAAATTATCCATTTTTATTGAAAAGAGACACTTGAAAACAATTCAAATCTTTGTTATTAAAAACATATTCTCGTACGCATTTTCGGCTGTTATGCTTTGATGGGTTCTCGACTTCTGTACGCAATCCCCAATTTCTGTAAATAGTGTGGAATACTGCTGTACATGTGGACTCTCTTCACGAGACAATTATGATCAGTCATCCTTGGGGACAATTGGAAAATCATATGAATTATTTGTTGCATGATCTTAACAAAGGCGAAGCCATATTTTTTAAGCATTAGTTTTTCCAAGACATCAGAAATAAAAAACCAATATCAGTGTCGTTAGAGCAAAGAATTTTTCCTTTTCCGAAGACTTTCGAGAATAACCTGCTTTTTATTTTGGTGAAAGTTCATTGAAAAATTCTGGAACTTTTTGAAATTCCATGAATAATCTTCTAGTGTGTCCTGATGGGGGCTGATTGTGGAATGAGTTTTCCAAAAATTTGTATTTTTTCTTGCTTTTTAAACGTTTTTTTTTTGATGAATTAACCTCTCCCAGTACAGAGACATTTGATAGAAATTTGGGATTTCCAAAAAATACAATATTTGGTGATTTTTCAAGGGAATTTTTGGGATTGCTTTAATTGAATGAATGACTGAACATAACACTTTATTTACCGCTTTTCAGCATTTGCAAGGTTCAATCAAGATTTCCACATCCAAACCCCCTTCCCACCAAACCCGAATCCACACAAAGACATTTAATCACTTCAGAGCAGGAAACAGAGCACAAATTGATAACGAAAATAAAAGAAAATACAATTCACAAAATACAACTGGACATCTGACATGTATGCATACACCCATCCATTCCCTGACATTGAAAACAAAATATATCTAAAAATTTACACCTTAATTGATAGCGTTCAATATATGGATCACAAAAAGCAACTTTTTTTTAGCAAAATGCTTGAATATACATGAAACACGATTTTCTATATTTCCAGAACACGTGAAATGGATCAATTCATCGGATTCAAAATGGCAATGGAACTACAAGCGTGAGATCTTCGGAGAATCATCAAAAGCAGTTGTACTAGCACAACGCAAACATCATAGCTTGTCAAAAACTTTCAAAGCAGCTGGTCTCAGACTGAATTCAACGTGTTTAGTGTCCAAAAATGCGCTAGGAATCCCAATCAGTGATTGGCAACTGCCAGAAATATCACAACTTTTAAACATTCCGCAAGAAACCGAGTCTTTAGTCCGGAAATTGTTTCAAATTTCCGCTCGCCACCGGCACAAACTCGGTCACGAATTGGGAAGCCACAAAACAGACCACTTCCGAGTCAAGCTTGCCAACGAAGAAGACCTGGATATTCAGCCAAGGAAAAGCACGACTTTCAATATGCTCATCATTTTGTTTGGTTTGGTCAGTGTGCCAAGTTTCGGCGTGATTTTGGCCACTGCAGCAAAAAACGCGTACGAATTCTTTTTGTTTCTCGAATTTTGTGGATCATTCGGGTGTCGTATTCACTTTGGTCCTTTGCGGGCTCATTTTCTTGTATCGTATTGTCTATATGGACCTGGGATTGACACTGAGTACCTAGATGAAGTTGCCTAATTATTATTTGTGATCACATATACGCATGGCCCAGTTTTTATAATTTATTTGAAGAAGCCATAACTGACGAAATAAAGTTTTGTCGGTCCCAAAACTAAATTAAGAGTTTTTATCTTTCATATTTCGTTATACAGGTGGACTCCTACAACGATCTTGTCTAAAACAAATTTCCTCTCAATAACACTCATTTTTTTCTCTGTTGGGTGCAAGAAGTATAAGTGGACCAAAAGATTGTGGATGATAAAAATAAAAATAGGAATAATTTTCTTGCAACTCAATGCAGGAATAATTTTGCATGAATACTTTGCACACACAGAAGCAATTGAATTATTTCTATAACATATACTTCTTTCAATTTTCTCATGACTTCTCATCTATTATTTAACCTTCTCCGGATTTTCATCACTGATTCGTCACTGTATAGCAACCTCTTATTTAGGTTTCAAGAAGAAAATGTGGCTAGGAATTTAAGCCAAATCTAAGAAATTGTAATTTGTATATTCTAGCTATTTTGATCAGAAAGACCTGTCACAATATCCCAACGGCAGTTTTGTAAAATGTCTCTCCCCGTGTTATATAGGGGTTCTCTATAACAAAAATATTTCTATAACAAGTTTTTTCTGGCCATTTGAATTTTATTGTAGAGAGAGTCCGCCTTTTTTTCATTCAATAAATTTTTCTTTGGTGAATTTTTCCCGCCAATCGCCATGGAAATACCTGAACGTCAATGGTCCCCGAAATGATAATCATTTTACTCAACTTGTTCATGCTAATTACCAAGTGTGGCATTTTAACCCTTGAATAATCTACTCAAGGCCAGCATTCCGGGTTCGGATACGATTCTTTTCATCACAATCCATCAGGTTTTCCGGGTTCAAGACTTGGTTCCTCTGTCACAACTCACAAGTGATGATAAATTGATAGAACAAGAGAAGGTTTGGTGACTCCATCCTTGCCAGGACAAGTATGTCTTCATTTGAATAATCTTATTTTTTGTGAGCTTCAAAAATCCAAAGTTAGTAGATCAGATTATCTCTCTTAGATAACGAGCGAAACCTAATCCATCAGGAAATAGATTAGAAAAAAATCAATTCAATGATTTATCTAAATATAAGTCAAGATCGGGATATTTAATTCGGATTTTTTTCCCCATGCAGTAGCAACGTTAGTTTCTCATCGAACTGAAAAACTTGCGAAGGCGAATTTTGTGCTTGTCCGTTGGAGTTCAACAAAGTGTTTGTACAGTACAGTATTTACTGATATATTTTGTGCAAATGTAAATTATGCATTGAATATGAAATTTTCCGAGGCGTGAGTCATGAAATGTTCTCTATTTCAATCAGTACCTTCAACTCTCATTTTTGATACAATTTCCCGTAAAATGGCACAACAATTTACACACGACAGTGCAACAGTCTTGCAAAAAAAAAGAAGAAGAAACACCGGCACAACCGCGGACATCCAAAAATGACAGAAAATATGTCCATGTTATCTATCGATCCAAATATTACTCAACATTAAATTGACGTATATTAAACTGGAATGTTGGGTTAATTTTGTAAAATATGGATTGTTGCAGAGTTGCTCCATATATAAAAAAATTAGGCCACACTGTTCGTTTTTTAAATATTAAAACAAAAATAATTTCTTTTTTTTTCACTGTATCGAAAATGGAAGTATTGTATACGTTGCAGACATTGGAGGAAAAGCAGTCCGAAACTGAAAAAATCTTTTTGCGCTGAATAATCCGTCAATAAGTGGTCAAAGCCCTGTTTCGCTTATATTTATGCGTTGGCCACATACATTTCTTGATTTTTTGTTGTCTTTTAAATCTCATGCTGGTTCCATGACGTTTTTTGTAGAAGCGTGATTGTGTGAACCCCTTCTACTTGCGAATGAGAGTCAGGAATTCTTCACGGGTACGAGGGTCGTCTCTGAACACTCCAAGCATACAGGAAGTCGTGGTTTTGCTGTTCAGCTTCTGAACTCCCCGCATCACCATGCACATGTGTCTGATGATGAAAGGGGGGAATAATGAAGAAATTTCAAGTTATAACTAAAAATTTAATTCGACTGTATAAGTTGAGAGCATATAAATGAAACTTACGCAGCTTCAATAACAACTCCAACCCCAGCAGGCTCAACAGCTTGTGTCAGTGCTTGGGCAATCTGTTTGGTCAATCTCTCCTGAACTGTATTGAAATTATAAATAAAAAATACACACACACAATTTTATATATTGCATAAACATAAATATTGTACTGTATTTACTCAAATACCAAGCGCCCCACTTTTCCAAAATTGAGATTGGAAAAAGGAAGGTGCGTATTGTACTCATATACAGGCAAGGGTATATACATTTTTGACAGGTTTAAAAATTTAGGTTGACATTATTTTTGATCCTATAATGAAAAATGTTGGACCAATTTTGAAATAAATACCGTATTCACTTGAGTACCACGCGCCATTGAATATGGCGCGCACCCCCATTTTTCCACCAGAAATTAGTTAAAAAACCTATCCCTGTGAAATACACGCACCCCAGTTTTTTTGCTGTTTCTGAAAATCAAAAAATGGGATATTTTTTTAAATTCATTTTTCCTCATCAAAATTTATTGGGCTTTCAGTCTTTTTCCATCTACAAAAGCAGTTAAAATACATGTGCAATACAGGAAAGCTTCCTCAATTAGATGAATATTACACCCTTCGTTTACTTCCTGTTGAATTTCCAAGGAATGAAACAAATTCAGCCATTATTCCCCATCCAGGATGAGACTTGGCACCACACTTTTCCTCTTCAATTTTTTTATTTGGATGTGAGGGGCACTGGTTTTGGGAATTTCTCTCTAAAATTCATCCCCAAGTACCACGCGCACCCTATTTTTATGCCTCAATTTTTAGAAAAAAGGTGCACGTGGTACTCAAGCAAATACAGTACTTACTATATTGTAAACAATTTAAAATTAGTTGAGTTCAGAATTGAATCATGTCTGAATCCAAATTTAAATGAAATCTTTTTTGAAAGCTTGCAGTTTTAATGTTACAAAAAATAGGGCGCACATCTTAATTACTTTGGGATAGAATGGAAAAAAATTTGGTAATTTCACTTGGAGAAGTGCAGTATAGAATATCCCACAAGAATTTAAGGATAAAGATAATCCCAGGATAAAGTGATGCGCATCAGGATCGGAATGAAAAATAGCTTAAGAATTAGAGAGACTTGTTATTTACCCTGGAGGCGCCTGCTGAAGACTTCCACGATGCGAGCAACCTTGGACAGCCCTAGAATTTTCTTGTTGGGTAAGTAACCCACGGAAACTTTACCCATGAAAGGCACCAAGTGATGCTCGCACATTGAAAACATCTCAATGTCCTTTACAATGACCATCTCATCGTGGTCCTCGTCGAAAACGGCGTCGTTCAAAACATCTGCAAGCCCAGAACGCAACCAAAAATATAGCACCCGTTTCTCAAATGAACCCCCTTCATTGGTTGAATCCCTCTTTCATCCTTATATGCAACAATCTTGACTATGAATGTATGTTGAAGCTGCACCTTGAAATGTCCTCTGAGATTGTAGAATTTGTATTTGAAATTGTTTGATAGGCAGGCAGTTATTTTCCTGGAGCTAAAACCCCATTTTTGAAGCTAGAAATCAAAATTTCGCGTTTTTGGGACCAATTCTGACGTTACTGAAAAGGGCCAGTTCCGGGACACCCGTTACGTCAGGGGGCCCATTCCAGGACACCCGTTACGTAAGAAAGCCCTTCCTGGGACACTTGTTACGTAATGGGGGGCCATGGCACTTTCAGTGGCAGAACAGCTGTCACAGACCAAGAGACAAAAATTCGAATTTCGTGAACAAAGTTTCCTTCAAATGTTAGGTTTTTGACTGCCTTAATTTCCTATCTCTAAATTACTTTGTATTGGTCATTTGCTAGCAATTGAAGGGTCCTTTGGCACAACTTCAGTGCCAACCCTCTGTTGGGGCATTTTATTTGGAATGTTGTGTTAAGGAGGGACGTTATCCCTGAAAATTTCTGAGGGAAATTTCCACCACTGTTGTATCTTGTTTAATTTGTGGTGAATTGGGAATTTTCCACTCCAATGCATTTATGTTTTGTTGGTTAGTAACAGCCAGGCCAGGTTGGCAAGGCTGGCACATTTAGGTCAATCTTTTAAGTTGATTTCCACCCCTGTGGGATTCTGAGAAGGGAGAGGTTCCCAGGCAATTGCTGCCACTAAAGCTTTCTCACCCTTGTTTTGGAAGCTGTTCTCCCTCTTTCTGTTTTGAAAGCTGTCAAGGGATTTATGACTGTTGGAGAAAACTCCCACCCCCTCTTTGCTTGACTCAGGATTTCCTCCTGGTTTAGAACCAGTCATCTCTGAGCTCTGTTGGGGAAGGGTGGTTCTGAGTTGCTCCCCAATTGTGGGGAATGTATTCTGATGTATATTTTGTACATTTCCACCCCTGTGGGATTCTGAGAAGGGAGAGGTTCCCAGGCAATAGCTGCCATTTAAGCTTTCTCACCCTTGTTTTGGAAGCTGTTCTCCCCCTCTCTGTTTTGAAAGCTGTCAAGGGATTTATGACTGTTGGAGAAAACTCCCAGGGGGAGAAACGAACTGAGTCCTAAAGGAGGACCAAATCTTGGTCAGTAGAGACTCGAGACAACCCCTTCCCACCAAGACTCAACGAGGGGTTAACACCCCTTACATAAGACTACATATAAAACATGTGTCCTGTTGCACTTTTGACCATGTACTTGTCTTTGTGTTGCAGGCAAACCATATTCACATAAACATAATCATAATTTGTTCGCACACGCGCTTGTCTTGCAAGCACTTAAGCTTATTTTCTGTCAGGACTGTGAATAAAAGTGTGGATAACAGATTCAAGGGAGTTTGTTGCATTCTCCATACTAGTTAGTCTTTGGCAAAAAGTGAGCAGCAACTTTGTGTGGGTCTTGCCCATACCTTCTTATAACTGATGTCCCTGGTCCTCCGGTCTGAACAAACACTTGACCTGACCACTTCCACAACCATCATCCATTCATCTCTGGTGCATACTCAGTGACCTAGCTGAGGGCACCCAACCATTAAATTCGGAGTCATTCAACCATTAGCTTACAATTGTGTGTAGCCTCTCATTCTAGGCACAACACATATGTATATTGCAGCTATTGTTAAAACAGTGATGTTCTAAAATTGATTCTGTAGATATTTATCCCTGCATTAGAATTGGGAAATTTATTCCTGGTACCAAAGCCATGATTTTTCCGCATGATATCTGGGATTTCTGGACCAACATTTCCGATCTCAGCATTGGGCACCACAGTCCTGCATTAACCAAGAAAAAAAACAATGCAGACATTCTGAAATTTCCGCACAATGACTGAATTTGTATTGTCAATAAGCCAGCAATTGATTGAACACTTAGGAAATTGGGATTGGCAAATGGTTTTTTTAATATGACCATCTCTTCATCTTTATTAACAACATGTAAAGCATGCATAACTCACCATGTGACCTCAATTCAACGGACCTGAGTCATTCGTGTGCTGCTGATGACACTTTGAAATACCTAAAAGCAATAGCTTTACCAGCTTCAGACGTGCAGAAAGTAAGAAAGCAGTCATGCAGCTGTAACTAGTGATCAAAATTATTGTTCTTTTGAGAAAATTCTGTGCAGGTGGTACCCAGCAATTTGACACGCCACAATTTGACCATCCCGAAATTTGACGGTTGAATTTTCTGGGATGTTGACTTTTGATTTGACCTCTTGCCCTACCAATTGACCTGCAGAGACTCTCAAAACATCTAATTTGGTATAGAAAACAAAGAATTCAACATTGCCTCACAATTTGACTGCTTCAGAATTCAACACTCACCCAGCCATGGATTATGGTCAAATTGCAGGGCAACATCTGTATAGGATATAGCTTGAGTGAGGAAAAGACAAATTTATTGAGATGCAGCATTCTGACTGATGCTGGATAATAGACTATATTTCTTCAACACTTTTCTCACTCTTTTTATACTGCAGCACAAATTAAAAGAAAAGGCACAGAAATATTTTCCAGAAAGAAATTTCGGAAAAATCCAGGAAAACAATCAGGAGAAATGTGGAGGGTCCCCAGTAAAAATATTTTGCTGCACATGGTGTAACTCCTGATCAGGGTTGTTATTTGTGATTCAGTTCTGAGACTTCTGAACAATTGTAAGTGAGATAAAAATCACACTACTTGCAATTTAAATTTTGAAGCATAAATTCCTGAACTGAAACTTGTAATTTTCATCAGTCAGTAGTATTATTCGTTTTTTTTTTTCGAAAAGTGCTTGCAGTTGGGCTAAAGCTACTGTAATAAATTGCAACTATAATTATTTCTGTAATTTTGGGGCTTAAAATAAACATTTTTGAAATTAAAAATTATTTAATGGATTATTCTGATTCTCAATACTGTAATAAGTTATTCTTGCCTACAAAGTTTTGGATGGGTGTATGATCCAATCCAAAGGCTGTTCATTCCACAGTCTTCGCTGTGGAATGAATTTCAGCCATTAAATACAGGGAATTTCAGTATTTTATTTTTTGAATCATCGTATCATTTGGTTTTGCACAAGAGCTCCCTACACCACAAGATGTGGGTGAGATTCATGAAGTTTGACTTCTCACATATAGACAAGACTGTCCAAAATCAGGGAAGACACTACAGGCTCAGTTACAATGCAGCTTTTTTGTGTACTGTTGCATCTTGTTATTATATTTCTTAACTTATTTAGAGTCAAATATTGAAAAAAATTAAATTGTTTGTCCAATAGCCAAAATGTCATCCATATTTTTTCCTTCTGAGAAAGTGTTAACAATGTTGTTTCTCCAAGTGGCAATGACACAGAATTTCAATGCAAAGTATCCTCCAGCAATCACACATGTGTTTCATTTACCCCTTCAAGAGTAAAGTGATTAGAGTGGGGCCCAAAAACCCACATGCAACCAGCACTCTTGGACGGCCTCCACATGTGGGAATGTCTTTGCAGTATAACAGATTACTGTACGTTTTCACACCCTGACTGAAACGGAAATCATCTCAAGCAATTAGCTTGCTTGGTGGAACATTCGGAAACAATAATTGAATTACAACTTTCTTTGCTGTAAAATATGCTGATAATAATTGGCAAAAAAAAACCTGGACTCCCCATTTTGGAATGTAAAAAAGTCCAAAAGGTAGCACCTTTTCCGCGGGGTTGTCAGCAAAATTGTCAAGGCAGTTTTTCATAAGTGTGTCAACAATTTTTGTTTGCTCTAGGGGCATCGGGGATACTTTTCTTTGTTTCGAGTTATCAGTGGAATTTTCTGGATGAAATTCGAAAAAGGGTGGATGAAATTCTTCAAATAAGGTTCACTTTACAGACATTTTCTGTACTACAAGATCAAATCCGCAAGTTGACCTAGCTTTTACGTGGTTACAAGGATGTAGATTAAATTTTGGTATTGGCTGCAAGAAAACTATGCCAATACTGTATTCAAAAACATTACCTTGAATATGTTTAATGTCAAGCTCCATCAAAACTCGACTTTGGATGTAAGAATTTAAGTAAAAATTAGACTTCAATGATCTTGTAACATCGTGCAGAAGTTGTATATTTGGCAGAATGTATTCTCTTTCTGTTTCACTTCATGCTAAAACAACAAGAAAACTGAACAAGATCTATTCTTTAGTTTCCAGGTTATTCGTTCTCTCCTTTTTTCGCGCTGGCATTTTTTGGTGCTACCCGGGGCTTTCTTCTAATTTATTTTTCAATGGATACTTCAACACTTCAAAACAAAAAAGGAACACGCCTTCGAGCCCAAGATTTAATTGCAATTCACCTCACATCAAAGCCAGCATCCACCTGCTTAGATTTTTCCCAAGACCCTGAAGCACCAATTTTGAGCCGAGGCCCTCATTTCATGATGATCCGCAAGGCGCCGTTTGGCCTCATTCTTATCCACTCATATTTATATTCATTTCTTATTGTTTTGATGAACGCGAAGAAGGAAAAAAAATGAAGCGTTTGAAAAAATGAATTTCTCGTGAAGCTCCTGATGAATGGCTTCACCAGTGCCTGCAGGGTTCCAGATGAACTGATGACTGGTCCAGCAAGTGGGTTCAATGCCCAGGCTTCCCTCCAGGCATGTGTCATAACTGTGCCTCCACTTCAGACATTTTCTTCTTTCCAGCAGATCCTACCTAAACTTCCGGACTCGATGCGAACATTAGAGGTGTCCAACGCAATTTTGCTCCAAGAAAAGGATCTCTGAAAAAAATATGGATCTAAAAATAAATTTGAGGTTCGATATTATATCAACAAAATTGAGGTATCATGTCTGATTGATCCATATTGGATATTCAGGTGGTTTCATACAATTTAACCACCCTGCTACTTGTCGATCCCATAATTTTCTGGTCAAATTTGCTGGGAGTTCAACTTGCAATTCAACCTCTGCCCTGCAATTCAACCTCTTCCCTGCAATTCAACCCACAGCAGAGAGATGAACATTTTCAAATATGATGTTGAAAACATTGCATTTGATGTTTCTTTTCAATTTGAATTCTTCATAAGTTAACCCTAATGCTCCAATGCACTATGGTCAAATTTCAGGACACTGCTTTTACAGTTATATTTCAATACAACACATATAATTGCAGGTGGGCTCTTTCTACAACAACCTTGTCAACAATGTGCATTTTGAGGTCAAATACATTTTTCTCAACAATGTGTTTTTTCTGGCCTTTTGAATGTCATCATATATTGAGTCCATGGGCATAAAAATAAGCTACTTTTAGGATGGAGTCTAAAAATAACAAATATTTGGCAGTCATTCTATGCTCAGACCTAGGAATTATTTGATTGATGGCAGAAAAATTTCAAAATGCAACTGGTGCAGCACGCCAACTTCATCATAGAAGCACATATTCTTGTAGAAAAAATTGTGTTGTTACAAAAATACAAACCATGACATATTTCTTGGATATTCTTTAGCTCCTTTTCAGAATGCATGCCTTTCTTTCAGATGAACAGGGTGTTCAATAGACTTTTCATTGATTTGAAAGAAAGAATATGCATGAATGCATAAGTTGATTCAAAAGGAAGAACAGTATTTTCCCACATTTTTGCATTCAGTTTTTCAAGACTAAAGGCACTTCATTAGATAGGTATGTTCAATAGAAGGAAGGTGGCACATACAGCAGTGTTCCCCAACTTTTTGCAGCCTGCAGACCAGCAAAGTTCCCAAAAATGTTATGCATATACTGGCAAAGATTTTAAAAACATTTTTGAAGAAAATTGTATGGCATTGCACACATTTGAAAATTTTCTGCTCTTTTCAAAAATTGAGATCCATT